TCTTGTCCAATATCCACTAGATACAAAGTTTAATGGTTGTGGATAAGTAAGGATAAAGGAGGAAGGGGTATCCACATTCAGTATCTACGACTCACTCAATATATAGTAGATATTTCAGTTAAGGTAACTCGTAGGCTTATATAAGGAAAATAAATCAATTCAAGATGATAGGAAGAAAAAATTATAAACGCATCGTTTATATTTAGAGTTTTCTGTATTGGAATGTTTAAAGTATTATAAATTGTTAATACACTTAATATTATATTATACGAATAGATGATACAACTGTATATGTATATACATAAAATGATCATTTGGAAAGATATAGTATGTTAACAATGTTAAAAACGTTGGTAAAATATAAATTGATGAAACATATGTATAGTTATACCTGTGTTTGGATTGGATAAAATATTACATGACATCAGAGGATAATATATATCACACAGAAACAGGTACCATCGTTTTATAACATCCCTCAACACATAACTGCTACAAACATAACATGAAGTTATTAAACACGGAAATATGTTTAAAAACATAACATGACGTCATTTGAGACGAAGCTATTTAAAAACTATAACAGGAAGTCTCCTAACAAGTAACTACGGTATAAAATAACGTAAAAGGTCCAAACGTGGCGTCAATAAACACAAGAACACAAAGCTACTGTAAAATTCTATTATGCAAATGCCGATAGCTCACAAAAAAGCCTAAGTACAGTAAAATTCTAAAATATTGGTGCCCATGACAATAAATAACCTAGCAATATGTTAGCAGCTCAATGTGTATAGTAACAAATAGCTACAGTAAAACATAAACATATACATGACTATAGTAATAAAATGTACTGTAAAATCCTAACATGCCATCACTGAATTCAAAAACACGCTACTTGTAAATATGTACACCAAACTTGAAAAATAAAGATTTCTTTGTTTAAAATATAAAAAAAAGATAACGAAGCATACAGTTAATGAAACAAAGTGAACTAATTAAGTAATTAATGAAAGTGTTAAGAAATTTTCAAGGATTTTAACAAACATATTTGCTTTACAAAATTAGAATAATCAATTAGAAAAAAAATAATTACATCCTCGCTTCGCTAATGCGTTTGAATTTTCATTGTCTACATTAGGGCTATCCAATCATACATTCTATCAATTATAACGGTAATGAACTTTCATCCATCATATATTCCTAACCTTGTAAACATTATTATTACTGCTCTCACTATATAAAAAAACAATATAAGAAAATATTATCATGCTCTAATAAGTCTTTATCTGCGTTTGTTTTTCCTACATTCAACTAAATAATTTTGAGATAAAAAAGTTACGTTTGAAATTAAGAATAACTAATTTATTAGATAAAGAAATATTTCTGTTCCTATAAGGCTGTCTTTATAAATTAAGATAACAATTTAATATCACGGTCAGTGATCGAGATATAATATTTAATTCAATTGCCTCTTTATTCTAATTTCTATGTTGGAGAATCGAGTTGATGGAAATTCGTCGATCGATTGATGGATATTTTCATACGTTTTTATGATCCCAGTAAACCTCAACAAAAAAAATGAAATAGTGGAAGAAGCGGGTGTGAGGGTGTAGAGGGAGGAGGGGGGATTGGTTGGAGGGGGGAGGGGCACGTGACCGACAAGAATCAGTTGGTCTAGACGTCTAATGTAATAGCCGTGACGTAAAACTCAATTTAGCCACTACTTTAGGGTGATTGGTAGCCCAGGGGGGAGGGGGGGGGGGGACGGGGGACTCTAGTGTTGCTCAGGGTTGCACGAAGACTAGAGCTGCCATAAACCCTCATAATACATAGACATATAGAGGCAGTTAACATATGACTATATACTTACACACGCAAAATACACAAACACTCACAATACACAAACGTTCATATGCATTAAACAAATACTTCTCACATAGGCAATCACTACACGTTCCCAACACACACACATCGACACAACCACTACTCAAAAGCGTAACACAAAAACACATTCACAGTTCACAAACTATTTTAATAAAGTAGATTACTAGAAAAAATCACACGCTAAAACTCACATCGTCAACACACAAACACACATATACACACCACACTCGCGTACACATATAAAGATATATTAAACACGCATAATTTACACAATTACAAAGTGTTTCACATTTCCATATCAGAAAAAAAAAAACTCTGATGTACAGACTTGATGTCTAGACTCCCAATAAACGTATTAACCCTCCCCCTCACACACGCACAAACACAAACGCATACAGACACACGCATATAAACAATCTTATACGATAGATAAATACAATGAATAAAATAAAATCCCCTCAAGGGAGGAAGAATCGGGCACGAGACATGAAAATCCTGAGAAATCTGGCCACTTCAACATACTCGTGACGTAAAAAAACAAAAACATTGGGATCATTCATTATAAAAACATTACATTTTCCACATCACGAAATCAGTTAATTTACACATTCATTTTAAAGCATGGGAACCCAGTTTTTAGATGAATGAATACATTTTTAGAGAGTGATATCAAAATATCTCAAAATTAAATTACAGGGGTATTGTGTTGGGGAGTTTTCTTTGTTTTACGGAACAAATTGAACGGGTTTTCAAAAAATTATTTTATAAAAATTGGCTACATTTTTTCCCACGTTTTCTTTAACTTGCTTTCTCTGTTTGTCTTTCCAATCAAATCTTGCGATCGAAATTTCTGGCACTTCCCAGTTAGCTAGCGCGCTGAAATTTTCAGGGAAGCTTTCTTTTGGATGACCATTGAATATTCAATTGTTATTATTACTAAATTGGTCAATGGAAACATTTTATTGAGCATTTTAGACCGCTATATAATCTATATATATATAATTCTCCTCTGCTAGCCATTAGAAAAAAAACCAGCGACGCGTACCTCGCGCGCAGTGAAGCGAACGATCACATGTCGCCACAGGCTTAGGGGCAGAGAATTTAGCTTGAACCGAGTTTAAACTTACAGGAGGTAGGCCAGTTTGGGGGAGACGATATGGTCGAGTGGTTGGGCACACGATTGCTATCCCACTCGACACGGGTTCAAATCTATGTGTTCTAGTCAGTAACGTATTCAAACAACGAGTTTTTTACGAGTTGTCTTTTTACGAGTTGTCTTTTTACGAGTTGTCTTTTTACGAGTTGTCTTCGTTTACCCAAAAAAAGTGAAAAGATAAAATCGATAGCAAGATTTTAATGCAAACAAACAGACAAAGACTAAAAAGTAGAAAATAATAATCATTAAAAAAGTTTTAAAAAACCCACGTTTTCTGATTGAACTAAAAAGTAGAAAATAAATGCTATAGGCCCTACATCACAATAATGCAAGCGATCACTCTACTATAAGCGAGCAAAAACGTGTGGCGCCGTGATTTTCTTACAGTTTCTAATACTGTTGACTCTCTACAAGCTCCCTAATAAAAGTCAATAGTATTATCTAATCAATAGTAATATAACTTTTACTTCGGCGCCCCACGTTTTTGATCGCTTATAGTAGAGTGATCGCTTGCATTATTGTGATGTAGGGCCTATAGCATTTATTTTCTACTTTTTAGTTCAATCAGAAAACGTGGGTTTTTTAAAACTTTTTTAATGATTATTATTTTTTTAACACTAAAATTATATCACACAAAAATAATATTGAATTATTGCCTTAAAAGGAATTATTAATTTCTAGATAAAAGCAAATATTTTTTTGTGTCTTCGTGTATATTTTATGATTAGCTTGATCTTACTCCTTTTTCTTATTTGCTAAATAATCCGGACCTCGGAATTAAAAAGGATTTTGTAGACAAAACATGGAACATCTGCCTTCACAAACCCTGGATACAGGTACGCTCCAAGACACGGACTCCAAAACGAACTCAACCCTTTCAGAGTTATTCAATTTATTCAGAGTTACAGCTATGTGCTCTAGTTTTTGACCACACCGTCCCATTAAACTGTATTTACTCAAGAAAATTCTGAGTTTATAGAAAAAAGTGAAGGTCGCGTGGTTCTCATTAAAAAGAAATGCATCAAGTCTATTTTAATAACTACTTGAAGCTGTCCTAGTTGAAGACTGACTGCTTTGTGTTGATGTTAACAAAAACAAGATCGCGAGAGGGATAATAAAAAATCTTACAAGGAAAGTTCAGTTTACGGTTAAATATTACAACATAGTACTATAATAAATATACAAGAGGTGCGACAACCAGCTACGCCTATTATTACATATTACTCAAGTCTGAATGCCATTTAATAAATTGCACCCCTCCCTACATCTAAAACTGGATTTTATTTACAAATAATTTAGCTGGGTTATGTACACGTATTAATTACTACAAAAAAGAGCTAATTATTCACAAGTTGATTAAGACAAACGTTAATAACATCTTAACAGTAACCGGAGAATTGGGGTGTGTGTGACATAAGCTTATATCTTTTATGTCAAGGATATGATAATGCAAAATTTAAAAACAACGTTTTAACTACTAGTTTAATGTTTTAAAAATAAAAGAATCGGTTCAACAGTAGTTTTGTTGTGTCAGTCGTAAAATGTAAGGTTAGAAAGCCTAATGCAGTGTGTTTGTGGAAGAAAGGTAAAGTAGGTTTGGGAAATACCTGGATCTTGACCTGTTTTATTTATAGCATGGTATGAAAATACCTTTTGTAAGACGTGTTTTATTTCGTTCGTTCAGGAATCTGTTGGTTTGTAAAAGATTTTACAACTTTCTTTTTCGGTGGGTTTTACACGAACGCCAGGTGTTGAACTTGTATAATTTAGTTTGTCAAAGGTCTGCTAAAGCCAAGTTTGAGAACGCCTGATTCAGAACTTGTAGTATCTAGTTTGTCAAAGGTCTGCAAAAGCCAAGTTTCAAAACGCCTGATTCAGAACTTGTAGTATCTAGTTTGTCAAAGATCTGCAAAAGCCAAGTTTCAAAACGCCTGATTCAGAACTTGTAGTATCTAGTTTGTCAAAGGTCTGCTAAAGCCAAGTTTGAAAACGCAGAATTCTGTACGTTTTTTATCAACGAACCGACGTCCATACTCGCTCGTCTAGCAACCGCCTTAAGTCTTTTACTACCTCGCCTCAAGCTGGCTGGAACTGACTTGACCTCACGCAATGGTTTTCCGTTGACCACAGGTAAGGTCAAAGGCAAGGGACGAGTGCTGGTTTCAGTAACGAAGATTCCATTTTCGACGTCAGGTTGTTTCCCTTGACCTGCAGTTACTTCCCTTTTCACGACGTTGACAGAGTAGTCCGATGTTGCCCAGTCTTGTATGTCGCCTTGTGCGAAGAGAACGAAGATGAGACCGCCGACAATGTTGAACCCTGCCACCAGACAGAAGACGACAAGCCAACCATCTCTTGAACCCTGGAAGACGAGGCACAGCTATTGATACATGTGATATATAATCATGTTCTGAAACTTATTTTCTTAGTCTTAATACAGACACAATACTGAGTGTCTTGGTAAGTTTCAATTTTTTGTTCTAAAATTCTGACTAGTTTCCCTGAAATAGGACAAGACGATCAAATAGGATCGCAAATTTGGGAAATCCTATAATGGTTATATCCCTAGCCCGACTCTTACCCACCCACCATTATTAGTACAGTGTTTATGTCAGATATTTTTCTCCGTAAAGGGGGAGGGGGCAATAGAAGCTTTCCGGGGTGGGGGGGGGGGGGGGGTGGGGGGGAAATCAGTGTTTCTTCCAAACTTGTTTTCTCCGGGGGGGGGGGGGGGGGGCACTTGAAATTTTCGGGGGGCGGTTAACATTTTTCGGGGGGGGGGGGGGGGGGAGGGCGGAGCCCCCCCGAAGAGATGCCTGGAAGAAACTCAGGGGGGGAATCTGTCACTGGTATATATTTTTTGTATAAATTTAAATTCTAATATCTCAGGGACTGTAGATGTGCTTCGTGGAAACCGTTTGTTCAACATCGCTTTGATTCCTTACAAGGATATTGTTTACTATACTGTCAGACGGACCAATCAATACACTTATTAAAAACTTTCTTATGCAACTTTTCTAATTAAATTATGTACTTTCCTGCTTTTATTTTCATATTTGTTTGTCTAACTCCAAACCATTTTATTTTATTTTGGAATCTTTATTAAAAAAGATCTATTTTTATCCATTTATTATTGAATCTCCGCTAGCTTATGCTAAGTAATCCTTTGAGTAATTCCCTGCCCTAATTTTCTGACTTAGCGGCATGATTTTTTTTAAACCCGCAAAATCTAGCAACATGGATCTAACACAAAAACTCAATTAAGATATTGATGGGGAAAAAATGTAAAACGAAAATGTTAATTTTTTAAAACATTTTTGCCATGATAAATATAAAAGCTTAGACAGGAGACGACGGGGTTTATGCAGGCTATAATGTGAGAATGTATAGCTAAGAATATTTTTACATCGCTTTACAAAACAAGACTGGTTGAGTGTTTGTAATAATTGGCTAGCTTGTTCCATATGTACATTATGTGTTGTTGGTCCTAGTTACCTAATTACAGACATATTTATTCATATAAAGCTAGTAATAGCTATATGGTGTAATATTAAAAAAACATATCATGTTTATTCTCTCGCTTTCTGATTCTCTCTCTCTCTCTCTCTGTCTCTCTCTGAGTCTCTCTCTCTCTCTCTATCTCACACACACACATACAAACACACGCATTCTCTCAAATGCACATCATAACAAAACAGACAGCCACATCTTCTATTTAACTGTCTCCCCGAAACACAGCTGAGCAAAAGTATAAATACCATTACACTCTATACCACCAAATAACAACCCTATTACATACACAAACCCACTTACCCCAGCTATGACTATAGCCCATACACAAACCCATTTACCCCAAGTATGAATAAAGCCCATACACAAACCCATTAACCTCCAGACTAAAGCCCACAATTACCCCAGCTATCACTAATCCCACACTTACCCCAGCTATGACTAAAGCCCACGCTTACCCCAGCTATGACTAAAGGCCACGCTTACCCCAGCTATGACTAAAGGCCACGCTTACCCCAGCTATGACTAAAGCCCACACTTACCCCAGCTATGACTAAAGCCCACACTTACCCCAGCTATGACTAAAGCCCACACTTACCCCAGCTATGACTAAAGCCCACACTTACCCCAGCTATGACTAAAGCCCACACTTACCCCAGCTATGACTAAAGCCCACACTTACCCCAGCTATGACTAAAGCCCACACTTACCCCAGCTATGACTAAAGCCCACGCTTACCCCAGCTATGACTAAAGCCCACACTTACCCCAGCTATGACTAAAGTTAACACTTACCCCAGCTATGACTAAAGCCCACACTTACCCCAGCTATGACTAAAGCCCACACTTACCCCAGCTATGACTAAAGCCCACACTTACCCCAGCTATGACTAAAGCCCACACTTACCCCAGCTATGACTAAAGCCCACACTTACCCCAGCTATGACTAAAGCCCACACTTACCCCAGCTATGACTAAAGCCCACGCTTACCCCAGCTATGACTAAAGCCCACGCTTACCCCAGCTATGACTAAAGCCCACACTTACCCCAGCTATGACTAAAGCCCACACTTACCCCAGCTATGACTAAAGCCCACACTTACCCCAGCTATGACTAAAGCCCACACTTACCCCAGCTATGACTAAAGCCCACACTTACCCCAGCTATGACTAAAGCCCACACTTACCCCAGCTATGACTAAAGCCCACACTTACCCCAGCTATGACTAAAGCCCACACTTACCCCAGCTATGACTAAAGCCCACACTTACCCCAGCTATGACTAAAGCCCACGCTTACCCCAGCTATGACTAAAGCCCACACTTACCCCAGCTATGACTAAAGTTAACACTTACCCCAGCTATGACTAAAGCCCACACTTACCCCAGCTATCACTAAAGGCCACACTTACCCCAACTATGACTAAAGCCCACACTTACCCCAGCTATGACTAAAGGCCACACTTACCCCAACTATGACTAAAGTTAACACTTACCCCAGCTATGACTAAAGCCCACACTTACCCCAGCTATGACTAAAGCCCACACTTACCCCAACTATCACTAAAGCCCACACTTACCCCAGCTATGACTAAAGCCCACGCTTACCCCAGCTATGACTAAAGCCCACACTTACCCCAGCTATGACTAAAGCCCACACTTACCCCAGCTATGACTAAAGCCCACACTTACCCCAGGAATTGACTAAAGCCCACACTTACCCCAGCTATGACTAAAGCCCACACTTACCCCAGCTATGACTAAAGCCCACACTTACCCCAGCTATGACTAAAGTTAACACTTACCCCAGCTATGACTAAAGCCCACACTTACCCCAGCTATGACTAAAGCCCGCGCTTACCCCAGCTATGACTAAAGCCCACACTTACCCCAGCTATGACTAAAGCCCACACTTACCCCAGCTATGACTAAAGCCCACGCTTACCCCAGCTATGACTAAAGCCCACACTTACCCCAACTATCACTAAAGCCCACGCTTACCCCAGCTATGACTAAAGCCCACGCTTACCCCAGCTATGACTAAAGCCCACACTTACCCCAGCTATGACTAAAGCCCACACTTACCCCAGCTATGACTGAAGCCCACGCTTACCCCAGCTATGACTAAAGCCCACACTTACCCCAGCTATGACTAAAGTTAACACTTACCCCAGCTATGACTAAAGCCCACGCTTACCCCAGCTATGACTAAAGCCCACACTTACCCCAGCTATGACTAAAGCCCACGCTTACCCCAGCTATGACTAAAGCCCACACTTACCCCAGCTATGACTAAAGCCCACACTTACCCCAGCTATGACTAAAGCCCACACTTACCCCAGCTATGACTAAAGCCCACGCTTACCCCAGCTATGACTAAAGCCCACGCTTACCCCAGCTATGACTAAAGCCCACACTTACCCCAGCTATGACTAAAGTTAACACTTACCCCAGCTATGACTAAAGCCCACACTTACCCCAGCTATGACTAAAGGCCACACTTACCCCAGCTATGACTAAAGCCCACACTTACCCCAGCTATGACTAAAGCCCACGCTTACCCCAGCTATGACTAAAGCCCACACTTACCCCAGCTATGACTAAAGCCCACACTTACCCCAGCTATGACTAAAGCCCACGCTTACCCCAGCTATGACTAAAGTTAACACTTACCCCAGCTATGACTAAAGGCCACACTTACCCCAGCTATGACTAAAGCCCACGCTTACCCCAGCTATGACTAAAGCCCACGCTTACCCCAGCTATGACTAAAGTTAACACTTACCCCAGCTATGACTATAGCCCACACTTACCCCAGCTATGACTAAAGCCCACGCTTACCCCAGCTATGACTAAAGCCCACACTTACCCCAACTATGACTAAAGTTAACACTTACCCCAGCTATTAGCAGAGATGTAACAACAGGGGCGGGCAGAGATATGAGAGTGGCAACTGTAGACACGACACCGTTCAGTAGACCAGCGTACCTAGACACGGAGAGTAGGGTTAAAATCAGGTAATATTGATAATTAAACGAACGCTAAATAATACAATTAGTGACATAAAGATTTAAACAATCTAGCGTACCCAGAGATGTGATCTAAGTGTCAAAACAATTTAATATAAATGGTAAACAGAATTTTAAAATTTTGGTTAAAAAGGTCTGTATCAATAAGGGGCGATCTAATTATTAGTTGTTTTTTCTAGATATACAATAAAATTAGTGTTAAAATTATCATCGTTCGTGTTAACGTAATTCTAGCAGAGCATGACATGTATGTTAAAAGCATTGTTTCCCTCTTGTCCACGTACCCATATCCCCAACAGTCGTCCCCCCCTTGTATGGCCCCCTATCCCCACTACCCATCGCTTACAACCGATAACCGGCTAATAAATTGATCCCCCGGCACCACCCAAGTTCAGATTTTCGACCCGTAGGGGAGGGGTTATGGTGGATGGGAGGTCACTATATTTTATGGGGCAGTTTTTTTTTTCTCATCATCTCTATGACGAGACCCTTCAGTCCTGTCTATGAGTGCTGTCACGAGTCCGCCATCTTAGCTTAACGTTACTTTCTAGTCCGTCCATCTTAGGTTAACGTTACTTTCTAGTCCGTCCATCTTAGGTTAACGTTACTTTCTAGTCCGTCCATCTTAGGTTAACGTTACTTTCTAGTCCGTCCATCTTAGCTTAACGTTACTTTCTAGTCCGTCCATCTTAGCTTATTGTTACTTTCTAGTCCGCCCATCTTAGCTTAAATTTTCTTTCAGTCCGTCCATCTTAGCTTACTGTCTAGTCCGTCCATCTTAGCATAAAGTTCTTTTCTAGTCCGCCCATCTTAGCTTAAATTTTCTTTTAGTCCGTCCATCTTAGCTTACTTTCTAGTCCGTCCATCTTAGCATAAAGTTCTTTTCTAGTCCGCCCATCTTAGCTTAAATTTTCTTTTAGTCCGTCCATCTTAGGTTACTTTCTAGTCCGTCCATCTTAGCATAAAGTTCTTTTCTAGTCCGTCCATCTTAGCTTAAAGTTACTTTCTAGTCCGCCCATCTTAGGTTAACGTTACTTTCTAGTCCGTCCATCTTAGCTTAAAGTTCTTTTCTAGTCCGTCCATCTTAACGTTACTCTCTAGTCCGTCCATCTTAGCTTAACGTTACTCTCTAGTCCGTCCATCTTAGGTTAACGTTGCTTTCTAGTCCGTCCATCTTAGGTTAACGTTGCTTTCTAGTTGGTCCATCTTAGGTTAACGTTACTCTCTAGTTCGTCCATCTTAGGTTAACGTTGCTTTCTAGTTGGTCCATCTTAGGTTGACGTTACTTTCTAGTCCGTCCATCTTAGGTTAACGTTGCTTTCTAGTTGGTCCATCTTAGGTTAACGTTACTCTCTAGTCCGTCCATCTTAGCTTAACGTTACTTTCTAGTTCGTCCATCTTAGGTTAACTTTACTTTCCCCGCTTAAAGTCAAGATCCTACGATACTATACCCAGACAAACAAACTAAACTTTGCTACTACAGTAGTCCGTAAACCAGAACTAGGCTTGATGATTAAAATCGGAATGTTTGGTATATACACACATACGGGTTTGTGTATAGACGAGTTTGGACATTGTAGTTATATAACATTTGTTTTTATACAGTCTCTAACTTGAAAGGCTAAAGCTACACAGTATAAATTCACGTAGGCTTTGTACAGTATGTTAGCAGAAATCATAAAACAAAATGTCTACCAGCGAAGTATTTGTTAATCATGTTATTTTTTAATAATATTTTTTCGTTTGCTCATATAGATATTGATTTTACAAATATACACCTTTAAAGAAAGCTTACTGTAAAGCCTATAACACAAAAAAAATTTATATCGTTTAGACTTTGGTTAAGGTTTTGATGAAGAATTAGGGTCAGTGTTATTTTATGTGTGGCTTTAAATGTAAGGAGCTAATTTAAAGAGAAATTTCGTGTAGCTAATTCGTATTGAAGTGGACTTGTAAACTTAAAAGTTATATTTTAATTTCCTCTGTTTTGTTCTCAGTTACTGGTTTCTTTTTATATCTGTTGATTATTTTTTTTTTCAATTCAAAACAATGCCTATTATAACCTATAACAACGATTTGATTTTTACATGTTTAATTTGTTGTTTTATTTTTATTTATTTGATTTTCTTTTTGTGTGGGGATCAATGAGGACCATAAGCAAGCTAAAAACACAGTTGCGTCCCTTACCTTGGAGCGATGTCAAGCAGATTGATCCTGAAGGCCACGGACGTGAGGTTCTGGAATGATAGGGCCAGTACGAGAAGGGCGATAGAGGCGCTGCTGTTCAGGCCGGGGATCAAGGCGATAAACAGCGAGAAGACAGCACAGCCCCAACAGCCTGAAATATGGGATGTTGCAACATTTTGAAACTTGGCTCGGTGGAGCATGTGATAGTGGAATATGGGATAGTGGAATATGGGATAGTGGAACATTGGACAGTGGAACATGGGATAGTGGAACATGGGATGTTGCAACATTTTGAAACTTGGCTCGGTGGAGCAGGGGATAGTGGAACATGGGATAGTGGAACATGGGATGTGGAACATGGGATAGTGGAACATAGGATAGTGGAACATGGGATAGTGGAACATGGGATAGTGGAAAATAGGATAGTGGAACGTGGGATAGTGGAGCATGGGATAGTGGAACATGGGATAGTGGAACATGGGATAGTGGAACATAGGATAGTGGAACATGGGATAGTGGAACATGGGATAGTGGAAAATAGGATAGTGGAACGTGGGATAGTGGAACATGGGATAGTGGAACATGGGATAGTGGAACGTGGGATGTGAAACATGGGAGAGTGGAACATGGGGATGTGGAACATGGGATAGTGGAACGTGGGATGTGAAACATGGGATAGTGGGACATAGGACAGTAGAACATGGGATAGTGGAACATGGGACAGTGGAACATGGGATAGTAAAACATGGGAACAATTTGAATCTCAATCATTGGAGCATGGGACAGTACTACGACAGTGTAACTTGGGACTTTGTTAAAATTAACAGAATTTTTAAAATATTACCATTGAAATAATATATGTGGGTGAAGCAAATGATATTTAAATCTCTGTGTAACTCTATGGTTAAATTTAATAATTATTTTTCAAATATTTATTTTCAAAAAAGACAACAAACTTTAAACTATTACAACAATTATAAAAGAAGTATGTTTATTTACTTAAAGTAAAAGTTACAAAGCAAACAGAACCCCCACTCTATTTGGCCAGCAAAGAACGCAAATCAATTATTTCCCATCTTGTTATCCCCCTTGATTTCTAATCCGTTTATCTCCCATGTTGTGGAACAGAAGGAGAAAAAAAAAAGCACATCAGGAATCTTAATCCGTGTGATCACACAACAGAGTTTCTGGACTCGCTGGTCTGAGAATGCCAGAGACATGGAATAGGGCAAATACATGACCCCATAAAAATATGTTGGACAAATGTTTTTTGTTAAACAAATATTTATTTAGGGGGCGGGTCTATGGGACAGGGTCGGTTTCCCATAAGGCTAGCTGTGCCATGTCCTATGGCGCTTTAGATATTGAGTCAGGGAGGATGGGGGGTATAAAAAGATTGAACAAATATTTACAAAATGAATTATGAGATTGGCTTGAATACGTTTGCTTGTTTTTTTAAAATAGCATTTTATTAATATAAATTTGTAACTAGTCCAATTAAAAATTAGTCCATAAAAATTAACTATTTACATTTTTTTTAAATGAATATTAATTAATTACAAGATAAGGGGAGGGAATATTTACCAAATGCTTGGATTTATTAGAATATACAGGTGGTTTTTTTTTAAAGCAAACATAAATGTATGTTTAGTTTTATTTTTGTTGTGGCTATGGAAGATTGAATTAGGGGTCGTCCATAAATGACATCACATTCGTAGGGGGAGGGGGGTCCGTAATTTTGTGACGGTGTGTGATGAGGGGGAGGGGGGGGGGGGTCAAGTGGGGCGCCGTCACACTTTTTCATTATAAAAAAGAAATTTTAGAAAAAGAAATTTAGACGTTATTTCGCGTTTTAAAAAACTTAATAAATTGTAATAGGAATTGTTTAAAATACTCTCTGTTGACAGAGCTCAGGTAAGATTTTGAAAAAAAAATTCGTCTTTTCAATTTTGAGGAGGGGTGGGGGTTGTAGACTAAGGTGTGATGTCATTTTAGGGGTGGGGGTTTGGCTTTTTGTGACGATGTGTGACGGAGGGGAGAGGGGCGGGGTAAAAGCGTCAAAAAAGCGTGACGTCATTTATGGATGGCCCCTTAGAAGACCCTAGTGCTAAAAGTACTTAGGTGATAAAAACAACATTTTGAGATAAATGAGTTCAAAGATTTAAATTTACTATAAAACAACGTTTTTATATCATTTTTTTTTTTGAAAGAGCCACTTAAATAAAATACTTCAGTATTACTATTTGTACATAAGATAAAGTTAAACTAGAGGAATAACGATAACTGCTTGTTTTGATTTCAACGTAAATGTGATCTAAAAGTACTTTAAACACTATCGTGTCTAAACTTTGCGTTCCAACCAGTTTCAGAATCACCACGCTTGATAATCCAGATGCCTCGTAAATTTTCGTTAGTTGTGTGAGGGGGACTCTACTATTCCTAAGAGGATCCACGAAAAAAGAAGGGACTCTACTCTTCCTAAGAGGATCCACGAAAAAAGAAGGGACTCTACTCTTCCTAAAAGGATCCACGAAAAAAGAAGGGACTCTACTCTTCCTAAGAGGATCCACGAAAAAAGAAGGGACTCTACTCTTCCTAAGAAGATCCACGAAAAAAGAAGGGACTCTACTCTTCCTAAGAGGATCCACGAAAAAAAAGAAGGGACTCTACTCTTCCTAAGAAATCCCCGAAAAAAGAAGGGACTCTACTCTTCCTAAGAAGATCCACGAAAAAAAAGAAGGGACTCTACTCTTCCTAAGAGGATCCACGAAAAAAAAGAAGGGACTCTACTCTTCCTAAGAGAATCCACGAAAAAAATAATGGAAAAAAGGGAGGTCAGCTTTCTACGATAGCCTCAAGCCCTAGTACACCCACGCTATGATTTACAGCGCGCGAGTATCGCTGTAAAGAGGCCTTTACAGCAGTCGAGCACGTGGACCTACCAATTGTCTGGAACAGTTTCCTTGTCCGGCAGATCGATAGCCCTTTCCGGATCATCCAATCGGACATGTAACCGGCAATAAGTCCGGAGATAATTCGACCGACAAACGGCAACGATGATAGAAGACCGTCCTGTGTGAAGGGGAGAGAAATAAATGCTAGTTAAATTAGATAGAGGATTGGGGGAGGTAATCAACGCTTCATAAATCTGGTCAAGTTGACAGGCGGGCAAGGGGAGAGTACTCTAAGACCTTAATTCACCGTAAAAAAGGGGAAACTATTGTTACTTTTACGTTGAATAAAAAGTCGAGAAATGGTTTTAAAAAAAATTAGTTGAGGGTTTGGCGATTTTTTCAGCATTAATCACACAGTTTGCATATTTGTAAAGGGAATAGAAGATAAGTTGATGTTAAGATGAACTTCTTTGATCTGTAGTTATCCCTTTAGGTAACACAGTGATATTTAAAGAGTTTTTTTTCAGGCATCTCTGCGGGGTGGGGGTGGAGATGGGGGTGTTGGCTGGGGGGGGGGGGGGGGGGTAGAACACTTCAACTCACTCCCCCCCGCTCCCCCCCCCCCCCCCCCACACACACACACGGAGAAAAATGTCTGAGAGAAATTCTGGTGCTGTTGTAAAAATGTAAAAAAAATATATCATTGTTATGATCTCTACGTAACTGCAATTAGTTAGAGATTTCTTTATACAAGGATTATTACTTTTTATGAAGTTTACTAGTCCATTGTACTCTCAATCAGCACAATCGATTGCTTAAACATAAAAAAACATTTTGTTGGCACAAACTGTGTATACCTCTTGGGCAAATAAATTAAAAACACACAAAACCTAACCAATCCAATCTACAAGGTAATATAAAAATATAATTTAATTCCTATAATAAAACAAACTTTGTAAAAAAAAAAATTATACACTGTTAAACTCCCTTGTATTATTTATTTTTACTCTAGCCGCTTGAATTCCCTCCCCTTACCGTCTCGAGCGAGAAGTCGAAGAAGTCTGAGAAGTATCTTGGCAGATATGACAGCATAAATGACAGGATCCACTTATTGGAGATGTGACCCATCAAAACTACCCAGACCGCTGGGGACTTGAGGATCCTCTTCCAGGGTGTGTTCAGCGGCTGTGGGAGGGTGGGGGGAGGGGGAAAGAAATGGGAGATTATTCGTACGTCAAACAAAATAATGAGATTGTATGATGGTTTGCTACTCTGTCAAGACTTTTTTTGGTCGTTTGGGAATTTCCGAAAATGGCTATTTTTAATCTGGTTTAGATTATAGCAAAAAAAAAAGAATTTCCTTTCCATTTTGTATGGCTTTTGAATACACTTTATGAATGCTAGCATTCTGAATTTATATTTTAAACTTTAGTATCGATCAAATGCGTTATCGATTATCGTTTATGTTTAGCGTTGTGTTTAGCGATGATGTTTAGGGTTATATTTTTAGCGTCATGACCAGCTTTAGTTTTAGCAGCGTCCATGGCCATACAGGCTAGGCCAATATATAGACGCGTGTAATAGACATATTATATCGGTCAAATACACACATCTTTACAAACACATCAAATCATAAGTTTAATCAAATTAAATAAAGTTAGTGTCAGATCAACAGTTGTATTTATAGTTTAACACACACACAAAAAATCATCAAACCAAAGATAAGCCGAGAACATCACATGGTGATACTTACGCTTTTGTCGTAGAAATCTTCCGACTTTTTATTGAAGGTGATGATGGCTAGCTCTTTCTTGGTGATCCTGGGGTGGACCTCGGGGTTGTCGTAGACGGTGTACCACCAGAGGGGGGCCAGGATCAAACACAGGGAGCCTGGGGGTTACAGTGGCTGGTTAGACTTGTCAGTAACTTGTTGGTTAGACTTGTCATACAGTTAAATTTAACGGTGAAACATTTCATCATATAATCAATTTATCTTATCGGACTTTTCATTCATTTAAACTATCTACTTTAGATTTGCATACAGATAGACTAGTAAACTAGACATGCGTCCATCTTTTAAAATTAGTGTTTAAGACTTGTGCGGAAGGTCATTAATTAAGTCAGAGATTGTCAGATAAATGAGAATTTGGATAAACCATTTGTTTACACTTAATTAGAGAAATCAATCTTTATATATAGTCAGACAATAAACTCTTAAGAAACAGTAAAATCGGTAGAAAATCTAGTTACAATGGTGAATTAAATATTGTTATATTTGTCAAATACAGATTTTATTATTTACATCGGTTTGGTGGTCTATTTGGGAATCAACTCAAGGGAGGCTACCGTGAAAAAAGTATTTTTACAAATGAGACTCATATTTTAAAAATTATCTCCCTTTTTATAATACAAAGTTTTCCAAAATATTAAAGCAGTAATCCAACGAGATGTTATATTTATACATAAAAGCTAGAGTTAACATCAAAGTTGGTAATTAGCGCTTTCTCATAGTAAATATAATTAAGTGTGCACCTCGTAATTTTTTTTGTCTGCACGCTTTGATACTATCATTTCAAATTCGTGTAAGTAAAATTATTAATGCAAATTGAACTTACCAAAGACATAAAAGATATACGGCCATCCCTTCCCGTCTCCTCCAATGGAAGTGAGGTACCCACAGACCAGGAACGTGAGAACCCCTGCCACACTGAGACCTGAAACACCAACACACCAAATTAGTTGATGTGGTTGTTAGTAGCTTGAACTTACAGATACATCCCTTTATTACTGGTAGGTCGGTACGATATGAATGTCGACTGATACACATTGTCGGCTAAGACTGACTAAGTCTAACTAAGGCTGAATAAGAATGATCAAGACTGACTAAGACTGACTGAGACTGATCAACACTGACCAAGGCAGACTATGACTGATCAACACTAACTAAGACTGATTACGACTGACATAGACTAAGACTGTCTTAGGCTGACTGAGACTGCCTATGACTAATCAAGACTGTCCTAGACTTACCCAGACTGATTAAGACTGACCAAGACTGACTAAGACTAAGACTGATTAAGACTGACGAAGACTGACTAAGACTGACTAATACCGCCCACGACTGACCAAGACTGACCAAGACTGACTAAGACTAACCAAGACTGACCAAGACTGACCAACACTGACTAAGACTAACTAAGACTTACTAAGACTTGCTAAGACAGACTAAGACTGACCAAGACTGACCACGACTGACCAAGACTGACTAAGACTGACTAAGACTGACCACGACTGACCAAGACTGACTAAGACTGACTAAGACTGACCACGACTGACCAAGACTGACTAAGACTGATAAAGACCGACTAAGACTGACTAACCTGTGTAGGAACATGACGACAACGAGGCCGTCTCGTACCTAGGCGCCCATTTAGCCCACATCGCCTGGACTAGAGAGTCTGTTCCGCTCTAGCAGACATTGGCAAGAAAAAAAACATTAATTATAAAAAAAATCAGACATTAAACTGAATACATTGTTCAAATGTCGATTCACATATTTCTTTAAGTTTTTCTACGTATTTGTTGAAAAGTATGGATGGTTGAACTCAATGCTCACCACTGCTATTCCTGTGACGACTCTTGACGCTATTATAAGAGACGGGTGGACGCCTGCTGAAACCGGAAGTAGAACGGTAAACACGCCAGCGCACACCAAACATGACGTCATCAAAGCCCGACCGCCGTACCTAAAACACAAGATTTTAATTAAACTTTTGAATTTTTAAAATGATTACTTAATCCAGCTAGCAGGCATTAAATAATACAGTGCATTTATATATATAGATTCAGTATTTTGATAGGTAATAGTTGACTATGAATACATGTAATGGTACTTCTTGTAATGGTTGCAAAGTACCTTTCTTCAAAACAGTGCATTGATAAAAATCTACCTGTACTCACTTTGTAGTCAGGTAACCAACAATGATTGGGGTGATGAAGATCTACCTGTGGTCAGTTAAGGATTGATGAAGACCTACCTGTAGTCAGGTGAGAATTGATGAAGATCTACCTGTACTCACCTTGTAGTCAGGTAACCAACAATGATGGGGGTGATGATGGAACCGATGTTAAACGATGCCAATAGAATTCCCTCAAACACAGAACTCCATTCAAATTCCTGGTGCTGAAATGTGTCAGATGCATAACATTAGCTCAGAATGTACGACTGTTCTAAAACACATTGTGTTAAACATTACTCTAAGTAATATACGTCTAAAATGGTTAGCTAATTGGTAAATATTTCTCTTTTTTTAATAAACATGTTTTTTTATGTTATGATTTTACGTGTGTCCAATGATGCCACATTAATGGAATCTTCTTAACCAAAACGTTGTAGTAAACTACAACAGATTATAACTAGCTAAAAACAACCTTAACCATTTCCCTAACCTGAAACGTAACACAAACTCCTACCTCAGCCATTTTCTCTACCCGAACTCTAACCCTAACAATTAACCTAACATACAATAATACTACCAAACACACCTAAATTAAGGGTAGGCTACATTTTAGAACAATGGTAGAAGAAATACACGTTGATTTATTTTGAACAATGACCTAACAGAATAACAAGTGCACGATCCATACTTGGGTTGATAACAATAATTGTAAGTATCATATGAATCAGCTCTGATAGAATAGGTCGACTACAACACTAATACAAAATCTAGTCAATAGCTACATGTAATTCTTTCTGTTTAAATAGACACAAATTAGCATTATAGGAGATCTATTTTGATACTGCTATGTACAATTATTAACATGTACAGGCAGTTTTAGGTACATGAATTTTATAAACGTTTTCAAAGAAATATCGGTTATAAATGTACAGAATAAATAACCAGGAGCTACACAAAGAATTTGTGAGTAAAATATGCTATTCGTCAACGATTCAAAGGCCATCCAAACCTATGACGTCATGGTTCATGGCGGACTGTTTAGAGCGCCCTACTGACCTGTAATCGAATATGACTAATCCAATCACAGACACAGTTTTAATGTCCCAGGTTAACTGATCTTTGACCTCGTCTAACATGTAAACCGGTTTACCTAGCTCCCCCCCCCCCCACATACACACACACACACAAACACTCATCCTCCATTCGCTAATCATCATCAGTTTTTACACCAAAACTCAAAGGTTATCGCTTTTAATCCATTCCACCTCGTTTGCTTTCAAAACTCTATAGCATTACTGGCTTACACTTCCGTTTCCTTAACCCCCCCCCCCCCCCCACCTTTTTTATATAACCTACTCCATCAGATTAGGATGTCTCTTATCTTATCTGTTTCTTATCTTATCTGTCTCTTATCTGTTTCTAATGCACTCCTCACCCCATATATACAGATACACACACATACACACCAAAAAAGTTCGAATTTTTATTCTGTAAGTCTTTTAGTCTTTTAACATCTCCTTCTCATATCCAGTCCTATGCCTATTAATTTTTTGTCTCCTCTGTACAATTTTTGATAAATTTCTTGTCCCTCACATACACCCCCCCCCCTTCCTCCCCTCGGATATTCTTAAAGTTTCTTTTTAACCCTCTTTTACATTCCGTCCCTCTCTTCTCCAATTTTAACTCATTCCTCCCATTTAGCTCATCCACACACACATTCCACACACACATTCACCCCCTCCATACCACCACACACACATACACGCATACTCTCTTCTCCCTCCCTCCCCCACCACACACACACTCACTCCCCCCCCCCCCTCACCACACCACACACCTTATTTCCTCTAACCTATCCTCCCCATGTTAACACCGAGGCAGTCATTGAACCAGCGTGCAGTTGGCAACCCCAGACTTGTACGAGCGAACATGCGAACATGTTCTGTGAACATGCGAACATGTTCTGTGAACATGCGAACATGTTCTGTGAACATGCGAACATGTTCTGTCGGCGCCTACCTCATCAATTACCACAACCAGCTTAGATCACATCAAACGGTGTCCTACAGTACTGAATACAACGGTCGTCTAAATTTAGAAACTCTGCGACGGTTGAAATCTGTTTTCAATAAATCTTTTATTTACGATGTTTATTCTAGGTCTGATGTGATTTAATTAGTTTGAACTTTTAAAAGAATACGTTTTCGGACTCTTTGCTTAGCCGTAACATACCTTACTACTAGGGCTCTTATCTAGCTTAAGATTATATTTATAATATAGCGTAAAGTTTTGGATTTGGTTTAGAGCAAAGGTTTCCCTGGGGATGCTTGTATATATGTTTGATAACTTTTAAGTAATCTAACGCTACAACAGTTTGACCATGCATTTAATAAAAAAATGTTTTGCTACTAAATACATAATTTAGAGTTTTGAAACATTAATTTACTTATTTTAAAGACGATACCTTTACAATATTTAAAGATATGCTCATTTTTTAAAAAAAATATGTGTGTATAACGTAAAAGAAGTTGAATAAGTTAGGGTGACAAGAACACGATTTCAACCGTTAGATGTGTTCTTTAAAGTGTTAAGATATTCAAGGGCTTTAGGGACCATTAAAATAACGAGTATGTGTGCTGGGATACAAATGAAGGAATCACTGATGAAGTGAAGGTGTTGATTGTTAAAAAAAAACGAGGATAAACTTCTTGTTTATACATCATACAGAGACAAGGCTAAACAAGCCGCCCCTGTTGACTGTTTTAACGTTGTTGTTTCAGTACTAAGTTGTTTTCTAACCTAGTTCAGTTCCCTAACTCTGTCTGTCCTGTTTTCTTCTTCTTCTTCACCGTCACATCTTTAAGGGGTTAGGGTTATACACACAACAAGTATTTAGCCAAATTTATTTCTCAATTATTTTTTTTTACTTTTTTTCTTTTCAATTTACATCAAAGACATTGTAATGGTCACATTTATGTGTGTATTTGTGTTTGACGAGTTTGAGTTCAAATGATTGTAGATCTGCCCCTGTCTAATGTTGGCAATGAGTTCTATATCATGCAGTTTATTTGGCTTATGCACCGCAAAGCTCTCACAAAAGCCTACATTGTTATAGTATTTGGTAACAGGAAAGAGCATTGTAATTTATTTAATTTTTTTATGACTTCTAAATCTAATTTTTCTTCGATGCGACCATAACTTTTATTTCAATGCGGCAATATTTAAATTATTTAACGGTTTAAGAAATTGATCTCAACAATAATAAATAAAATAAAACAAGCCATAAAAGAACCTACCGTAAGAGTTTCATTGAAAGTAACAAGCCCATCAAATGAGATGTTTGTTGAACTATTCTGGGACGTAAAATTGCTATTTTCCTGAGTGGAATTTTCCGATTTTTGAACAACTGTCGTTGTCTTTAGTGTCATGCCAACAACGGCAATTCCCATACACTGTCTGAGCGCGGTCTGCACGAATCTCGCAAGGAAACACATGTACGCTAAAACCCAGCGGCAGGAAGTGTATTTAGCGCAGAGAGTTTCACGACAGGCTTCGTTTTTTAGCAGTCTTTCGTTGTTCTTTTTCCGCTTCTGCTTACTGATGCCTCTTTCAAGTTTCCGGTTGGGCGGGAAGCGCCTGTCGTCAGGAACGCTGTCACGTTTTTGGTAGGATCCATGACGCTCTACACGTACAGGTTGGGCTTTCTCCAGATCTATACTGCTCTGCGCGTCTTTTACTTGAGTGAGGATAGTAACTTGGGGATACACGCATATAGCGTTCAATGAAGATTTGCTTAAAAGTTCGTTTCGGTTAAGTTCATGATTTTGGATTTCATTAGGAGGTAGTGAATTCATCCGAAACGTTTCTTGCAATCTCAACGCGTTTAAGAACACGTCTTTGCATTGTTCTAGAGCCAGCGCGAGTTGTAATGAACTCTCAGACGCCGATCTTTTGAGTTCCGAGTCGTCGTTGATGTTATTGAAGTGTTCCACGGCGGATGTTGCCTCGCTGCAGATACCAGAGTCAAGCTGCTGGCCTGGTTTGTCGTCGTTAGGGGCGGGTTCCAGCGGGTTGGATAACCCGTGGGGGTGGAGGTCGATGTAAGACGACACACTGTGGCCTAGAAGCAAATGTCCATTTTCGTGACGTCGGCGAATGTCGTTTTGATTATTCTTGTTGGCGTCGCAGTTATAATTCGAACAACCTGGGTTGGAAATGTCGCTGTCGCTGGTGTTATTTTCGGAACAAGTTTGTGGTGTCGTGCTATTTGGTATACAAATTCCAGACATATTATCTTGATAAATACTACCATTGTCGTTGTTATTGTTGTTGCTAAAAATGTGTAACTGTTCAAGATCTACTTTCGTTTTTGAGTCAGCATGAGAGCTTGTATTATCATCATCAACAAAACATACATTACAAACACCTTGACTGGGAGTGGTTTCTGAATTATTTACTCCTAAACACGAGAGTTCCATCCCGGAAACTACGTCATCCCTGATCACATGAAAATCTGGGACAGCCTCGAAGTTCAAAGCCTCGCTCTGGAAGTCTCTGGTGGAGTCGATCCTGGGTCGGTGTGTTTTCACGGCAGGCTCGTCCCCAGTAAATGTCAAGTCTTTCATAATGACAAGCCTCATCCTTGAGTAAGGAGACCAAGTCACACTCTAGTCTTTGACAACCTGTCGCTCTGATGACGTGATGTGTTATTACCTCACTCGCTGAAAGTAGAATGGAAAACATTGATCTTACAGGGCTTAGGACTTTTGCCAGAACGTTTACGTGATTATATATATATATATATATATATATATATATATATATATATATATATATCTATTCACATATAAACCATCTAATTAGTATTCCTAATGTTAAATATATATAAATATATATATATATATATATATATATATATATATATATATATATATATATATATATATATATATATATATATATATACACTGTCGATGAGGCCTAAAGGCGACTGAGAAGCTTTCACGTACTTGAGGTGACTAGTCGATTATGACTATAAAATTAGCTGGCTTTAAGTTGTCTAGCTAAAGGGCTTATGTAAGACAAAAACACAAATAGATGTCAATATCCGGCTAAGGATGGCATCTAACCAAAGATTCTTTAGTTAAAACGAAACAAAACATATTTGACTGTGTGCTAAACAGTATGAAAACATGCTCGTATGTTGTTTGTGTTGGGGACAGTTAACTGTCATACACCTTCAAACACAACAGTTGTTAGGTACATGGAAATCTGAGGTGAATATCCTATTTCCCAGAAACTATGTAGGATCGCAACCTGATAAAAATATGTTTTTGTCTAGCTCATGGTGAGGTGCGGTTGCTCTTGCGTTATTATCTTTTGTTTTTAACTTTGATGTTTTAAAGGGTAAAAACAATACACAGCAAATAGTAAATAGGAAATTGTAATTTTCATTCCCGTCGGTTATATCCGGGTTTGTTTTTCACTCGTCTTCATCTTGTTTTGTTTAAAGTTTAGTGTTAAATCTTGGCACACTTTTTTATTTATTTTATCCGTGCTTTTACAGCAAAGTTTTCTTTTTTTTCTATTCTACAAGTAAATATTGAGTTAGATACAAACATTGTTGTGTCGCTATCCAGATTCGGGTGAGACCAGACTCAGATGTTTTGGGCGCCATTAAAAAACCTAAATGTTACGCATTGTTTTCTTTTCATGCTTATATCTAGACCTATAAACGATGTTGTTAGTAATGGGACTCTGAGTGTAATGTTAGCTGTACTGTTGCCTCATCAGAAATGCAAAAACAAGTTACGACGAATCTAGCTTTATGCTCAAATGTGTTTGGTGGCCTTTATAGGGTGGCCTTTATGCGATGACCTTCATGTTGTGGCCTGTATACGTTGGCCTTTAGGTTGCGGCCTTTTTTAGGTGGCCTTTATGCTGTGGCCTTACTGCGGTGGCCTTTATGCTGTGGCCTTACTGCGGTGGCCTTACTGCGGTGGCCTTTATGCTGTGGCCTTACTGCGGTGGCCTTACTGCGGTGGCCTTTATGCTGTGGCCTTACTGCGGTGTCCTTTATGCTGTGGCCTTACTGCGGTGGCCTTTATGCTGTGGCCTTACTGCGGTGGCCTTTATGCTGTGGCCTTACTGTGGTGGCCTTTATGCTGTGGCCTTACTGCGGTGGCCTTTATGCTGTGGCCTTACTGCGGTGGCCTTTATGCTGTGGCCTTACTGCGATGGCCTTACACTGTGTTTTCCATGAAGTATCTTTCACTTTATGTACTTCGTGAGTCTGACAAAGAAGACCTCACGTATCTTGCTACCATTTAAATTTTTTTAACCCACACCCTGGGTTCGCGAAAGGCTGGTCAACAATCCCAGACGCCGACGATTAATATTTTCATCCGCGCCAAGAAAGAAATAATTCACAGGTGTAAATACTTAAGGGTCAAGGTCACGCCTTGTAGGATTGCGGCCTGTCGTCGACACACCTTTGTAATAAGTGAGTCGGTCATTCTATAGTGATTCAAACGTAGACTAGATAAGATAGACAGACATTTGTGTAGTTTCTTTAGGAATGTAAAGTGTGTGTGTGTGTGTGTGGAAGGGGGGGGGTAAAAAATGCAATAAAAGTATACATGCTACAGATGTGTACGTTCATGTAAATCGCTCGTCAAATGTAAGGCCTAAGAAATCTGTGGAAAAAAGTAAAAGTTCAGCTACTTAATGAAAAGCAGAGTTTGACTTTGACCGGATTACTAGGAAGAACCAATGTCCATTAATGATGTCGCTTACTTAACTTGCAATGTGCTACGTGGGGATGTGTGTGTGGGGGGGGGGGGGGGGGGCGGGGGGTCGAGAAATATGAAACAGGAGAAAATATTCAGTTCTTAAGAGAGTAAGCTAGATGAAAAACGTGTAAATATAGTTAGAATTATTCATTTTGATGAAGTTAGTGAAGTCCTAGGCGGGGGAGTGGGTCTTGTTTTTTGATGATGCTTTACGAAGAGAAGCAGACGTTTAAAAAAAAAAATCTGGTAAACTAAAGTACAATTATGGTAGATCGTTGTGTATAAAACACAGACACCCAGTTTACCAAATATTTGCTCTGAACGAAATACTTCAGAAATTTACCAACAATACCTATTTACACATTTTTCGTTCATCCTTACACATATATATATATTTTTTTTTGTGTTTGGCTTAAAAACGTTAACCTTCAGTGGCTCTCCAATTAATCTTCGCGATAAGTGAAAAAAGTCAACACTAGTAAATGGAGTGGGCGTTGACCACTGGAGTGGGTTCAAGGTGCGCCAACGCCCTGTCGTCTGCCAGTCTGGTGTAAATATTGTCTAGTGACAATCGTGCACTCAACGGGTCGAGTTTGTTGCGTCAATAATCTTGTTTTGCGAATAATCAAGGGGGATAATGAGTGTGATGATATACACGAAACTAGGTCTAGTATTGTAGTAATTTCACCCCCCCCCCCCGCCTCCTTAACCTTCATTATTATAAAAGTAAATATTTACTAAATACGTTGATGTAGATGTAGTTTAGATGTTTGCAAGACAGGGGTAGAGGTGTGGAAGTCAAGGACTCGGGTCGTTTCACGTACAAGATCTGGTTGCTTTGTTGGATTTCAAGCATTGTCACAGTTTAGACGACTTTGTACTTTTCGAGGTATCATTAATACAGTGGGGGATATAATATATATAAATACAACTACAGTGGTTCTAAATCTGTCCTAGACAGCTTCCAGTTATCTTTAAAAGTAATTTATTTTAATCCTTTCAAAACAAGCGGTCGTTGAAAGGATTCCTAGAACTCAAGTCAAATTATTATATTAAAAATAGTACAACCGTAGAAGTTCTTTTAAATCTGTCGACATTTTTTGCCATTTATAAAAAGTGTAATATAACCACGGTTCTCAAAACTTAGCAGACAGACTCAAGAAATCAGATTTTGCAAGTCACAATAAAACTAGTTTAATCTCTCCGGCTTTAAAAAATTGGTTTGTGTTGTTTTTTTCTCCATTACCCTGACAAGACCGGCAGGATTATATCAGGTGCAAAGGTCACGTGGTCGTACTTGGTCCATGTATCAAGGTATTAACAAAGTCACGAGGCTGCATGTCATCATTAGGCCTGCATATCTGTACTGGGCTGTTACCCCAGCAATGTGGCTCGTGGCCTAAGTGTCCTGAACTCTGATGGAATAACTCATACGTTAACCAACATCAGCAGACTATAACCAGAGTTTATTCCAGGAATCTCTTCGAGGGGGGGGGGAGGGGTAGGGGTGGTGGAACGAAATGGAATTTATTTAGAAAACATATACTTTTACCAGTGTCCGCCTTCTTTCCCCCCCCCCCCCCCACCCTCCGGAAATTTAGTCCGCCCCCTCGAAAATATCTACTCCTCCCAGGAGAAAAAAGTCTGGAAGAAACACTGACTATAACAAGAATCAAAGCACATTACCAGAATGCAGCAAAAATTAACACTGGATTATTACCATTTAGAACTACAGCACTACGTGTGCAGTTTTTTTAATTTCTAAAATAATGTCCAAGCATTACCAGTATACATTGTTACGCACTCACGATACCTAGAACGTTCGAACTCGGGAAGGGGTGAAGGGTTGACAAAGGATGAAAAAAAAATACTTTTTATTACTATTTCTTAAAATTCAATTCAACAACAAAAGTGCTCGTTTGCTTTGCCCCATGTGTCTTGGGCACGAACAATAAAAGTTGATGATATATGCGTATAAAAGTAATTTAAAATATGTGTTGTGTTGTATACATGTACATATGTGTAAGTAAAAGTATGTATAGGTGTCTGTGTAACTGTCACACACCTTCACTGATAAACCAATGATCTATAAATAGCACCAATGTCCCTCTGTGAGTGACACTACCGGAACCTCCCCGGGCCAGAGGCAAGCTCAGAAGATCGTATCTCCCGCTTAGTGTACTTCACGACCGTGGTTCATACATACTGCACGACCGTGGTACATACATACTGCACGCCGTGGTTCATACATACTCCACGCCGTGGTACATACATACTCCACGACCGTGGTTCATACATACTGCACGCCTGTGGTTCATACATACTGCACGCCCGTGGTACATACATACTGCACGCCCGTGGTTCATACATACTCTACGCCCGTGGTTCATACATACTGCACGCCGTGGTACATACATACTCCACGACCGTGGTTCATACATACTGCACGCCTGTGGTTCATACATACTGCACGCCGCGGTTCATACATACTCTACGCCCGTGGTACATACATACTCCACGACCGTGGTTCATACATACTGCACGCCTGTGGTTCATACATACTGCACGACCGTGGTTCATACATACTCCACGACCATGGTTCATACATACTCTACGCCCGTGGTACATACATACTGCACGCCGTGGTTTATACATACTGCACGCACATACATACAGAGTGTTGACATGCTAACCGCTGAGGCGTAATTCCCTGGGATTTAAGGCTAATCTTTTGTTAAGAAGCATCGGTTTGGGAGTGGGAGGTTACGGCCCTTTTATCTGCCCATCTCATTTACCTACGTTAAAGGATCTAGGGTGGTGTGCTCGTACGTTTATGTGTGTGTCTGTGT